CGATGACACGCGAGCACAGTTGAATTTTAATCGACGACCTCGTACACTGTCGGACAACAACTGGCCTCTGTTGCTTGACCCATCATCATCCCAACTTCGCCTAGCTTCTTTATTGCAACGTGAAGACGTATGTACGCCTCTCTACGAGCGTGAAAGCTGAAATTCAACGCTAGAACTACCAGAATGGTCAAAATGACCAATTTATAATCGTTAATAAAATTATATAATAAAGTTAACAAAAATAATAGAAAATAAATTTATAATAAAGTTAAATAAAGTAAAATAAAGTAAAAATTTAAATAAAGTTGATAAAATTATAGAAAATAAAAATAGTATTATTAAATAATAAAACTGTTTTAAAAAATTGTTTAAATTTATATATTCAATTCCATATATATAAAAATTATTGAAGAAATAAATATAATTAAAAAAATATATAATAAAATTCTATTATTAAGTATATTTATTTTTATTGAGATAAATAATATTAATAATCTTGAAAAAAGTAATGTAATTCTAAAAATTAATAATTTAAAATATAATCTTATATCTTTGAAATCGCAATTCAATATTTTATTTGAACCATTTAAATACAATAAATTAAAAAATAATAGATTTACTGAAACTGAATGTAAAATCAATCTTAAATAATTTATTAATTTACAATTATGAATTTTGAAATTTATTAATATATAAATTTTTCCATGATAAGTAAATCTAAATAAATAAATTGAACGAATAGAAGTTTCAATTATTTAAATACAATAAATTAAAAAATAATAAATTTACTTGAATTGAATGTAAAATCAATCTTAAATAATTTATTAATTTACAATTATGAATTTTGAAATTTATATAAATTTTTCCATGATAAATAAATCTAAATAAATAAGTCGAATGAATAGAAGTTTCACGGATGTGAAACAGCGTGTTTCTTTAGAGTTTCAAGCGATTCTTTATGAAATATATAAATAAAAGCTTGTATACTTTATTGTGAAGCTTTTTTTGCTTCTTTCACTCTTCAGTGTCTCTGGATGGAAATTTTACGCTTCTAATGTCAACATTCTTTGGTGGCGTTTCAAATTTTAACAGACTATTTATCATTCATTTTCAAGAATTTGAATTAAAGACACGAAGATCTTTTATACGCTAAATATACAACTATATACGTTCCACGAGTTTCCCATTAATTTTTGTAGTTTTATATTTTTCTGTGTGAATGCATAAAGTCTATTATCCCATTCTTCGTTAACTTACATGTACAGAAACAGATTTTCCTTCACTCACTTCAAGGGGTGAGGGAAAATCGTTTTCTGTATGAATTCCGTTCGATTTATGTATTGCACAGAAAATTTGGATAAAAGGAAACATTCCAAAGTAACTAATTGTAAATGTTTCCGGCGTTTGGATGAACAACACACGAGAAGTTAATAGTAAACGTAATCAAATGAGAACGAGTGTTTCATTAACCTAAATCATACGTTGTACGATCTGACAGAAGTTGAAATTAAATT